AAGCTGATGGATGTCCCTGCTTGGCACTCATCTTGCTCCATGCCTTTGTCTACCCAGCATCTTAGTGCCTGCACCCACCTCCTCTTTGGGTTCTGGGTACTCAGCCTAAGAGCTAAAACGGACATTTAAAACAGACAACTCGTCAGGCGCAGTGGCGCACACCTAGTAACCCGGCTGCTAGGAAGGCCGAGGCAGGAGGGCAGGATGGGACATTTGAGGCCAGCCTCGGCAACTATCTTGAAAAGGTGGTCTCGCAGGGAGCTTGGTGGCGGAGCGCTTGCTGAGTGCCCAGCAGGAGTCCTGGCCTGTGAAACAATCCAGCAGAAACAAAACTGAAACCGATCTGAGAATCTGCCCATGTTCTAAAAATCCTGCAGCACTAGGCCCACTTGGCCTGTGACACTGTGATTCAGTAGCACTTAAGTATCTACCTGGAAAGGGGCTTTTGGTCAGCAGAGCAAAATCAAGTTACAGGAAAACACAGGGAGGCACACGAGGCTGAAACGCAATGTAACAAAGTGCGTGTGGGATAGGAGGCCACAGGTCGTCCGCTCTGACCTGTCATTTTCCCAAGGGCTCCACATAGGGCACACATACTTTTATTATTTCTTTAAAAAAAACCTTTTAATTAAAAAATTCTGAATGAGAAGAAGGAAATGGGCGGGGGAAAGAGGGATACAGAAAGGCTACTGACCTTTTTAAAACAATAGGCCATTTATTCTTTTGTTCATTCAAGAATTTCTCCTCAAGCGTGATGATAGGTGCAGGCTAAATGAAAGTGACCAAAAACGATGCGATCTTATCCTCTCCTAGTTATCTGAAAGTGAGTGTATTCGTTCTGCCCGGCTGGGCTCGGGGCTCAGGGACAGCAGGCAGGGACCAGGCACATGGGTCTCTAGCTAACGGTATGCAGGCAGGAAGCCTACAGTGTCAGATCTTGCAAATTTGAAACATTGTGGCTGCGTTTTTTGGAGCTTGCTTTAAAGACGTCAACAGGAATGTGAATACTCCATCGCGCCCCCTTCTGGCCTAGTCAGTACTTGTTTATACGAAATTGGCGGGCAGAGGACGGTATCTCCTTAAGGATGCAGGCGGGCTGGTTCCTTCACTTGCACTATTGGGAGATTAGGGTGGGGAAGGAAGCTCCTCTTAAAACGTTTTATATCTTTGGGCCAGGGATACAGTTCAGCCTGGAAAGCTCAAGGTCCTGAGTTTAATTCCCGGTATAAAAAAAAGAAAAAAGAAAAAAAAAAAAAAAAAAGCACATTTTACTCCTGATTTGAAAATAAACTTTCATAATACAGAGTGTTGTAGCTTCTCTAATTAAAAAAGCCAGGGCCCAGTCTCCTATGGCTACTCTGCAAAAGCCTTCAAATCGTGTTTACATCTCCAGTTTACAGGGAAACTTCAGCTCCTCTTCCTGCTCTGCACCTGATTTGTGTTTAGAGCAAAGATTCTCAACTCTGGCGGCCCCTTAGGATTCCCTGGGGAGCTTAAAATACTAAGCTACCAGCCCCACCCAGCCCAATTAAATCATGTCCTTGGGGGATTAGATGCTGCATTCTATGGGCTCATTATCACTATTACCTTTGCAATCTGTCTATTTGTTCTGGCACCTAATTCGGGCTCTCATTACCTCTTAGTTTTGCTAATTAAACAGGCTTTTAATTGTTCCCTCCCTTTCTAATTTCTTAATAATAGCAGCGGCAGCCACAGTCCTGGTGGTGACGCCGTACAGAGTGGCGGTGTAAGCAAACAGTTAGCGAAGACAGACTTTGTGCTCGACACAATGCTAAGCTCATTACCTCGCACTGGGGCTTCTTTTCACAGAGCTGTAAGGCCAGCCTTCCACTGTTCCCTACGTGTGCATGGGTGTAGTTAGCAGTGCTGGGGACTGAACCCAGGGCATCTGCACTGAGCTACATTCCCAGGCCTTTT